CGAAGCAGTCATGCTAGCTAAGGAGGAGGCGGGACGCGTGAGGCAGCGAAGCGCTGCCTCCTCGCAACCCAGCCATCGCGAAGGACACACCGGGCGTCGGGGATCGCGGGACGATCTCCGGCCACCGTAAGCGCGGGCCTGCGGACGGCGAGCATGGGTGGCTCCCCGTCCGACCAGAAACAGACCCGAGCGTACGGCGCGTCGCGTTCCGCGCGCGCCTCAAAGAGCCATCAGACCACCACAGATGGGGCCCAATAGGGCCGATGCCGATTCGGAGTCGCGGAGAACCTAACGGGTAACCGGGGCTCCGGCTCGACGTGCAGGAGAAGGAACGGGGTGGTTTTTAGTCAGTAAGAGTCTGACACTCCCTCCCGCCTCACCCAGGCGGGGGCAGTCATTCGATGATTTTCCCCCCTTTAAAAAAAAAAAAAAAAAAAACACACACCAATTAGAATATTATGTTATAATCATAATACCTACACTAAATTTTTAATTTAACATGTATGTGCATCCTTACTGATCTTGTCATAAAGTTTATTTTTCTTTATTTTGTATTGAATGATAGAATTTATATGAATACAAATAAAACTGCGATTTTAAAAGTCTTATTGCTTTGACTTACGGTCCATTTCGATTTGTTTTAACAATACAGGGTTAATATGACAATAATTTCCGTAGTTTTAATTATTTTTGGGATAAAAAATTACCTATACTAAAAATTATATAAATCGATTCAGTTAACGATTCTGAACAAACTATTTTCAGGATGTGCGTTATTTCAGTTACATGTTGTATATAACGTCACGCCTATGTCCCATAGGGGTAGGCAGATACTCTGGAACGCTAATTGCTACGTTTCTTACATACTTCCTTCGCGTCTCTTCTTTAGTACTACGCTACACTTACAAAATGCTTATACCACGTAGCCTCTTACCCACCTCCATGAAATACCAACTTCATCATAAAAAGTGTATGCACTATAGTGCACCTACTTACAGTATACATTGACATACAGGTCAAAGACTTTTTAGGTCTTATTAGGTCATTGACTTATGCAAAAAGTATTTTTGCAATGCCTAAGTAAGGCTTACTCCTTAGTACTTAATACTTTATCCTTTTTGGGAATAACATACATGAAATTAGGCATTAACACCTCATCGTTTATAAATATATATATATTTGTTTTTTTTTATGGCATAAGCCGGTAAACGAGCTGACGGATCACCTGATGGTAAGCAATCGGCGTCGCCCATGGACACCTGGAATACCAGAGGCGTTACAAGTGCGTTACCGGCCTTTTGGGCATTAGGAGTTTGAGGATCGTTGGAGATTCAGGAATTGGAGAGATTGGGGAAGGGGAAGGTAATTGGGCCTTCGATAACCTCACTCACACGACGAAATACAACGCAAGCGTTGCTTCACGTCGGTTTTCTGTGAGGCCGTGGTGTCAATGCGGTCGAGCCGGCCCATTCGTGCCGAAGCATGCCTCTCCCACACTTAAAGTACACTGAAGAACACACAATATTTGAAGATGTACATTGCTACCTGCAACCAGTAGGTACCTATAGGTATTATTAAACCTAAAGGTCATTCCTTTGTAAGCCATAATTTATTATTTTTCACATCGCAAGCATTATCTTCACTCGACCATTGAGACCTATTAACTGTTTCCCACGACTATACCTCAAAGAAAAAAACCCGAAATGAGCTCAATGGTCAATCTTTGGCCCAAAGTCCGTATACTTTGTACCTACTTAACTTTATAACAACGTCATCAGCCCGTTACGATTGGACAACTACATTAAGGACCTCCTTTACCCACATATGCTTCTTCGCATTCTTCTCATACCTGCTTCTCATGCATGAGAGTGCGGATTCTAAATCTACCAACGGCAAGTACCAATGTGACTTTTTCCAAGTTATATGTACTTTCTAAGATTATTTAGACACCACTGACAAACGGTAAAGGAAAACATCATGAGGAAACCTGGGCTTATAATTTCTAATTATAAATTTGAAATCGCCAACCCGCATTGGGCAAGCGTGGTGATTAATGCTTAAAGCTACTCCGTGTGAGAAGAGGCTTTCTATTATATCCAAGGTTGGGATATTACTGATCTCAGCTTAAAAGGTTCAGGTTTATGAGAGATAGTTATCCGGTCTCTGTCAAATGTGTAGTCCCTTAGTCGGTTATTTCGACACACAGGAAGAATAGGTCTTATTGAAAAATGTATGCCTCGTTGGCCGAGTGGTTGCAAGTGCGACTGCCGATCAAGGGGTCTCGGGTTCGATTCCCGGGTCGGGCGAAGTACTACTGGGTTTTTATAAATTCTCAGTAGTAGCACGGAGTCTGGAATTGTGCCCGGTATATGGCAATAGGCTCACCCCCTATTACATGGGACTCATAACATAAATAGTGAAAAGTGGGTGTTACATTGTACAGTGGCATAATGTATACCTCTGCCTACCCCTTCGGGGATAAAAGGCGTGATGTTATGATGATGATGATGATGAAAAATGTATTTTAATTAATTTATGCATTCAAAATGCCTTTTATACCGAATCTAAATTTTCTTCTAGCTCCAAAGATTCCCAACAGTAATATATTTATGGTAAATAGAGTCATCCCTTTGCTCTTAATATGACTGTACCTCCACAAACACAATACACCTCTGTCTACCCCTCAACTGTTAAAGATGAGTGCTATCTAGTTATTAATAAAAGTTTCATTATTTTATTACATAAGCTGTGTAACTTCATACACAAGCCTACAATTATGTTTTTTACGAATCCTTGTGGAAGATTCCGTATCCGTGTGAATGCTTTTTTATTTTTTGGCTATATAATGTTTTGTTGAATATATCTTTACGTCGCTTTTTGCTTTCAAATTGATTGGGTTCTGTGTTTAAAAGGTTCAGACTGATGTGTTCTGTGGCATATAACTTACAGTCGTCAGGTGTTAAGGAGCAACACCCTCGATGCTGATGGTCTTTAGCCTCTAAATTTTGGTCATGGTGGAAAACTTCAACAGAATCTAACCAGAGCCTTTACCCAAACGCCACTTTAGCGCTTGTCTACAGAGAGAGTAGAAAACTAAGTGTATGGGGATGACACTGACAAGATTAAAAATTTACCTCAATCCCATATAACTTAATTTTCTATTCTACATGTAGACGAGCGCTAAATGGCATTTGGCTACAGCTGCTGGTTGGACTATGAGATATCATAGCGCAAAAGAGCGTAAGCAAACATAGATTCACATTTAATTCCTTTACTCTTTATGGTTCTGAGTGAGATTGCCATATTCCAAGCTTACCCTCAATCCTTAGTAGACAAAACCTTGATCAGGTATCACTGTCTTTTGGTAAAAACTGTATACAAATTCACATTCAGTAGTTTTTGAGTTGAGGCAGGGACCTTCATTTTATAATAATTTGTGTTATGTGTGTGTGTGTGTGTGTGTGTGCATACGTTTTAATTCTTTCCCCTTTGTCTATATTCGTCTTTTACATATTACGGAACTCTTTGGGCGTCAATTAACTGACTACATTAATTAGTTACTATTATGGTTTCTTGTAGCTATTTTTATTGAACTTTTTGCAACACAATTAATTTTTTTTTCATACACCACAATACTGACTCATGTCAGTATATCTGAAATATGTTTATTATAGTCTTATTTACGGTTATTATCTTCGGGTTTATCCGTTAATTATTACTGTTTTTATAACCAAAATGAATCTGACTTTTACTTGACAAATTAGGTACGTCGGAGATCATCTATAAATAGATAAATTATAATATTGATTTGATGACGATGACCTAGATTTCAGATTCATGATCCATAACCTTCAGATGGACTTATAACTAATGAAAAGTAGTTGTAACCTCTTCTTAACACATCCTGTAAGAACCATTGAGCTAACATTTTGGGATTTCCTGTCACCTTTCCCCAAGAGCTTTATTGAAATTTTCTACCATCAATATGAAAAGGTCAAAGGTCGAAAGCCTATAAGTAGCCACTGCTGACCAAAGGCCTCTTCTTGCACGGAGAAGGTTTGAGAATTGATCACCACGCTTGCTCAATATGGGTTTGCGATTTCAAATTTATAATTAGAAATTATAAGCCCAGCTTTCCTCACGATGTTATCCTTCACCGTTTGTGAGTGTTTTCTAGATAATCTTAGAAAGTATATATAACTCGGTAAAAGTCACATTGGTTTGCTGTTGGTAGGTTTCGAACCCGCGCTTTCATGCATGAGAAGCGGGAGTCTTAAACATCCGGGACAAAATTTAGCGTTACCTTAAATTTTAAATGTCTTAGCAAAGTATTATATATTTTATTCTTTTAAAAGTGGATATAATCATAACAAGAGTTCATACGGACTATCATCAACAGCCTATAAATGCCCACTGCTGAGCAAAGCCTCTTCTCACACGGAGAAGGTTAGAGCATTAATCACCACGCTTGCTCAATGCGGGTTGGCGATTTTCAAAACTTATAATTAGAAATTAAGTTCAGGTTTCCTCACGATGTTTTTCCTTCACCGTTTGTCAGTGGTGTCTAAATAATCTTAGAAAGTACATATAACTCGGAAAAAGTCACATTGGTACTTGCAGTTGGTAGGTTTCGAACCCGCACCCTCATGCATGAGAAGTGGGCTTCTTAAACCTCCGGGCCACCACGACATTTATACGGACTATATAGATTTTTAATTTTCATACCCTGTCATCATCCCAATTAGAACAGGAGTTCATTGAACATAGTCTATTATCTGTTATGTACACATACCTATGCCATTTCAGGAGAAGAATAGTTACATAATACATTCATACGACCTTTTATAGAATAAAGATAAACCTTTAGATATAAACAAAAATCTTTTATAGATTTGTTGATAAACAACTTGCAATTATACTTTTCTTGTGTATTCAAAGCTGTCGTTTTTTGGTATGTTAATAACATTTTTGTATGATACATGTGTCTATATACAACTTATATGTTCCTAACTGGTCACCTTGGTTTTCGCATCGCTTCTATGGCCGAGGTATATAACATAATTGATCTCAGTCCGCCGTGTAGTGGCTGTGATACTTCGAAAGACGCAACTAAGACGCGCGTCACAGTGAAAATGTTTACTCTCAGTAGATTTTTGACTTCCATTTTTATTTTATTTAGTGTTTTAAATGGCTGTTTGTTTAAAGAGCTTCGTGAGTATTTTGTTTGTTTTATTTTTGTTGGTTTATTTTTTTATTTAAATTCAAAATTTGTAAGTAATAGTTAGGATATTTGATTTGGGTCCTGTGTAATCAAATGTTTTGTTTTATAAGTCAGAGTTCTAGTACTTAATTTTAATTTGAAGATATAAACATACTTACTTATTTATGGTATTTAATGCTAATATTTTATTACATGTTTGTTAAACAAAAACTAAACACTTTCGTAATAATTAAATTACTTTTTGTCCTTTCTTTGTTTGTCAGTTGAATTTCTTATAATTAATTTACAACAGAAATATTCAAAATTCAAAAATTCTAAATTCAAAACAATATTATATCTATGGTAAAGACAAACAAGATACAGAATAAAGTAAAACATAATCGAGTTTATTCCTAATTTTGGAGGCAATAATTTAAAATTTCCAGGTTCAAAGTCAAAGTCAAAGCATTTATTTCAATTACTTCTTAATTAGGCACTTTTGAAACGTCGAAAATTTAATTGTATGTCCATTTCTCTGTCAGTGAAGCTAGGAGCTCGTTGAAATGTGTAGCTTCAAATGGAAAGGAACGAGGAATAAATTACATAGTTACTCTTTTAAAAAAAATATTTTTATCAGTCTTATTGATACAAGACCAAGAAGATTTAATATAGGTATTACTTTATAATTTATTATAACATTTGACACATAATCCCATATCGGATTTCTGCATTTCGGACAGTCGGAATTGCGGTACAACCAACTTATTTTTACCTCTCACATTAAAATTATGTCGATCGTTTTTTTTTTCAAACAATTGTAGACTTTTTCTTACGTACATAATATTTTAGATTACTGGATAGGACATAGTTTATGAACAGGAAACGTTCTATAAATACTGACATCAGTATAAAGAATAAATTGTAAACAAATAAATACTAGTTTGACAAACACATACACAACAATATTTGCATCGAAATATCTTGACCCTAGCTCAGTTCCTCGTAGAAACTATAAAATTAAAGCAGAATATTAGGTTACAAGGATTTCTTTGAAGATCATGGCTAACAGGCTATTGCGAACATTTTAATATTTTTTGTTTACTTCCTAGTTTTAGTATACAATTATTTCATGGCTATTCATAACCAATTGTGTCGTATTTTTAAGTATAAAAATATTCAACATCATCAACAGCCTAAGTGCTCATTGCTGAGCAAAACCTCTTCTCACACGGAGAAGGTTTGACGCTTACTCATTGGTATTATATTATATTATATATTGCGGGCGATTTCATACTTAGAATTAGAAATTATAAGACCGTTTTCTCACGAGGTTGCCCTTCACCGGTGTCTAAAAATATACATAAAATAATAATTGAGTCTTTTCAGTATTTCGTTAACTTCTTGCAAATATGCACGGAATATTAGTTTCTCTGAGTAATTATATAAACTGTATTATAGGTATATGTTGTGTATAAATGGTGTTGTTATAATAATTAAGTTATGGAAAAATAATTGACGGTTAAAATATTTGAGTATTATTATTTTTTAACTGGCTACATAATATTTTTAGGCTAGGCTACATAAGTAGATTTATAGATTTAATGGCCCAGAAATACTAGCCTTTGCTAGTGTCTATCTGTGTCGCGGAGAACTTAACGGGTTACCGGGGCTCTGGCTCGACGTGCAGGAGAAGGAACGGGGTGTTTTTTAGTCAGTAAGAGTCTGACACTCCCTCCTCGCCTCACCCAGGCGGTAGCAGTAATTAGATAATTATCCCCCCTTGTACTTATTCTAAATTGTAATTATCAAAAATTACGAAAGATAAGTCTATTATATTATATTATGCAATATTCCGACATTATCTAGACAGGTTTTATTATTATTTATTTTGAATAAATTAATTATTAAATGATGCCTTCATATTATTTAGATTTAAGTATATACTCAGTAACATTGTTAAAGTGCAAAAGGTCTGTATTTCCTGAAGGGTATAACCTGGGTGTCTTCAAGGCCCTAGTGAATAGGTTGCTTATGGGACGACGTGCTCCATCGTAGCATAAAATTGGGCCTCCAGTAGCCTCACTCAGTCGACGAAACATAACTCAAGCGTTGCTTCACGTCGGGTTTCTGAGAGGCCGTGGTATTACTCCGGTCGAGCCAGCCCATTCGTGCCGAAGCATGGCTCTCTCACACTTGATCAGTTTTAAAATAAATTATGCATGCGACATTGAAATTCAATCTAGAATAATGAGACAATTATTTATGCAATCTAGATATATTGTTATTAATTAATTTGTCACAGTGATTTGGTTCACAATTCTATGAGGTCACACCGCCTTGTTGTGTGTTTATTATCGGATTGTCACAGACTCTTTTTCCCTTCTTACGTTCATAAGAACCTGGTCCTATCAAAGATATCGAAAAGGGTTATGTTAATAGCCACAATTTGAAATTAAAACAACTTAGTACTTGTTTCTAAAGTAGCAGTAACTAATCGTCCAACAACTGCGCCACTGCATTAATGCAGTAAAAAATACATAGGTATGACATAAATCGATGAAAAATACTAAAACAAAAAGTCTAAAGCATAAAAGTAAATATGCTCAATGAGATGTCGAGGTGGCCCGGAGGTTTAAGACGCCCGCTTCTCATGCATGAGAGGGTGCGGGTGCGGGTTCGAAACCTACCAACGGCAAGTTCCAATGTGACTTTTTCCGAGTTATATGTAGGTACTTTCTAAGATTATCTAGACACCACTGACAAACGGTGAAGGAAAACGTCGTGAGGATAATATATTTGTAATCTCCAATCCGCATTGAGCAAGCGTGGTGATTAATGCTCAAACCTTCTCCGGGTGAGAAGAGAGAGCTCAGCAGTGGGCATTTATAGGCTGTTGATGACATATGCTGTGGAGAAATATGACGATAACTAGGTACTTATTATTCATCTCATTTTGCATAATTTTTTATATGATTAATTATGTATTTATACAAGACAAAACAATGGGTTTATAAGTTATTTATACATTTATTTCATTATGACTAGTTACCGGTAGTGTCTAGGAAAACTAGTATTTTATTATGACGTGTTTACATAGATTTTATGTAAATTTTATTGAGTAACGGTAACAATTACAAGCCTACAAGTTAATTAATAGTTTTGTAATGTTCTGTATTACTATTATACCTACTAGCCGCAGCTTCGCTCGCGTCACAAAAGGATAAAAAGTAGCCTATGTGACATATACGAATACACATAGCGCCATCTATACCAATTGTTTTGTTTTCCCTCGGGAATATCAAATTTTTCCGGGATAAAAAGTACGCTATTATTTAATCCGGACTTCTAACTTTACGTCTGAAAAATTTCAAAGCAAAGGTTTAGTAGTTACGGCGTGAAAGAGGAACAAACAAACAAACAAACAAACTCACTTTCCGATTTATAATATTATAGTAAGGATATTGTTATAATACGAGTTTTAGTGGGAGAGCCATGCTTCGGCACGAAGGGCCGGCTCTGGGTAGTGATACAACGGCCTGACAGAAAACCGACGCTTGCGTTGTGTTGTTTCGTCTTGTGAGTGAGGTTACCGGAGGCTCGATTATCACCCATCCCCTTCGCCAATCTCCCCAATCCCTGAATCCCCAACAATCCTCAAAATCCTAATCCACAAAAGGCCGGTAACGCCTCTTGTATTCCAGATGTCCATGGACGACGCCAAGTCAAGGTGGAATCGTAATTTGTGACGTTATTATGAGAGACTAGAAACATCTTGAAAAAATGGTCCTAGCCTTGAACTTAGTAGTATTTTGTTGCTAAAATTAATATAATTCGTGACATACATAAAACAAACAAAACGCATTAGGAAATAATTATAATTTGTTAAAAGATATGAATTAATTAAAATATTACACATTCAAAGACGAATTAGGTAATTAAATATTGTAATTCATATTTTTTTTATGAATTGCATTGATGTTATCTAATTTAAACAGGTTTATTCATGAGTAGCTTCATGTATTGAATATATAACTTTTATATATAGGTTATATAGATTTTTTTTATGGAATAGGTAGGAGGCAAACGAGCAGACGGATCACCTGATACTAAGTATAGAATATAACCTTTAGCCTTTTATCCCCGAAGGGGTAGTCAGAGGTGCACATTATGCCACTGTACAATGTAACACCCGCTTTTTACTATTTATGTTATGAGTCCCATATAATAGGGGGTGAGCCTATTGCCATATACCGGGCACAGTTCCAGACTCCGTGCTACTACTGAGATTTAAAAAAAAAATCTAAGTATAGAATATATAGCTTTTATAATTGCTGCGTCCTAACAGGGTATTGAACTAGTTGTATGTAATACTTCTTATTATATTATGTACATTGTGCAATATGAATAAATAAATAAAAAATATCTTAAATAACATAAAGTCACTATGAAAAAATAAAAAAAAGCGGTTCTAACCGCTTCTATGTGAAATATACAAGCCAAGATTAATTAGCTTGAATGTTAAGAGAGTAAATAGGGAATAAGAATATCTACTATATAAACATAACGCTATAGCGTCAGGAAGGAAAACCCGACTAGTAGACTAGTACTAGTAGGAGTTATAACTCCAGAACGCACGAACCGATTTCCACGGTTTTACATTTGTTGGAAAGGTCTCGGGCTCCGTAAGGTTCATAGCAAACAATGTTACATATAAAACGAAGCCATCTGGTGGCGAAACGGAGTTCGCCGGGTTTGCTAGTTAGGGAATAGATTTGGTAAGGCTACCTACGGTGCAAATGGCAATAAAAAGGGTACAGGATTTTGACGTGACAACGTCTTATAAATTGGTTTGCCGGGTGACACTTCAAGAAACTGCGTTACGCTCCGCTCACGTTATGCGCTCACAATGAGAGCGAGTGAGAGGCACGCGTCCCTTCCACTCGGGCATGGTTAGCCCGCCTAAGAGCGAGAGAGACAGACATAAAAGTGAAAGGCACGCGTCCCTTCCACTCGAGCACAGTTAGCCCGCCTAAGAGCGAGAGAGACAGAGCGAGAGAGAGAGAGAGAGAGAGAGAGAGAGAGAGAGAGAGAGAGAGTGAGAGAGAGAGTGAGAGAGAGAGAGTGAGAGAGAGAGAGAGAGAGAGAGAGTGAGAGAGATAGGCAAATTATTTTACCACTCAAAGTCGTTGTCACGTAAAACTTTCGCCCGTATACCGAGTTTACAGGCAACCAATTTTTTATTAAACAAGCCAATCTAATCTTAATAAGCTTGCAAGTGGTCTCAATAAGTCACACATTCATATCACAATTTAGCGAAGTTGTCAACGAGAATGAATAGGTCATAGCTCATACATTATAATAATAAGCCATTGTTGCAAAGGTAATATGCGGTTTCTGACGCAGGTAATAAGGTATTATATCCTTTGAACTGCAATTACCGTGTAAGTAATTTTATTGTGTCTGACATAAGCACGTTGTGATGTTATTTTCAATTGTAAGGGCCGTGTCGTTTTGATACTAATTGGTTAAATATATGATTATCTACATTAATTACTTACTTAGAATCTTTTCGTAAGGTACTGAGTGCCAAGCACGAATAACTATCGCATTCGTAACGTAATAGTATCGAGCGCGTTCGGAGCTCTGATTGGCCGGCTCAAGTGAACCAACCAATCAGAACGCTTAACTCGCTCGATACTGTTACGATACGAATGCGATAGTTATTCGTGCTTGGCCCTCTGCTCATTATTGTTTTGACCGAATTCGTAATGAGATAACAAGCGCTGAACGGGCGCTGTCAACTGGACTGTTCGGACTGACATGGACGGACTGGTCAGCTCCAGACTGTATTGCTCAATCTCATTTGTTGTCTTCAAGGTTGTTTTCTTTTTCTTTCTCCTTGATTAAATATTGGTGTTACATTGTTCTATGGTATGATGAAAGGACACTTTGGAACGAGCAAATAGCTTCACGAGAGGACAAGTGCTTACTGGTGACGTCTTATCCGTTTGAGTACCGTCATTATAGACACAATTAAAGAACAATAGGTTGCGGTCACCGGTGTCCTCGCGGTGTTTGACAGTTTAAAGCTATTGTGGTTCCGCTGAGGGAACGAGATCTCGATAGACGACTTGTATAGCTCTCTTTCTTTCCCTCAATGGAACTATTCTGACTTTAGGATGTCATGATAACCCCGCAGGTCTAATCACTACATAGTATAAAACAAACTCTGTCTGTCCCTATATATGCTTAGATCTTTAAAACTACGCAACGTATTTTGATGCAGTTTTTTTAATAGATCGAGTGGTTCTTAAGGAAGGTTTACATGTATAATACATGCATATTGCACTCGTGCGAAGCCGGGGCAGGTTACTAGTTGAAATATATGATTTTGACTTTGACTTTGATACATATTTTTAAAGAAACCAATAAAAAGCTGCCATGTACCTATGCCATATATCTATGAGAGATTGATTTTCTTGTTTCATATCATGATCTCCACCATAGGTCATAAAAGGGTTGTTAATTTAGGGTAGATTTGATGACAATCTCATTTATTTACTTGTAACGATACCTACAATAGATTTTGATATTGATTTTGATTATTTTGATAAACAATTACTTTTAAATTTTATTTTATTATATTTAAGCTTCATGCATAGATTGTACACAAGGTGGACTTAATGCCGCAGGCATTTTCTCCCAGTCTGAGCTTTGGGCGATGCAGAGAAGAGTAAATGGTAGGAGCAGGAAGCGAGCATCGTTTTATTGAATTTAAATGTCGTTAGAATAAAAATTACAGTCATAAGCCTACTAGTTTACCGTAGTTCCATCATTGAATTTAAACCAACTAAACGTACCTACTATTTAACTAATTTCTGATCTTAATCCTTCAACCTAACTATTATTTCTTACAATTTTCCAGCGGACTACATCCACGTCTGCAAGAGGGATCCGGCTACTATCAATGACTGCGTCGTGAAGTCCATAGAAGCACTCCGACCACAGTTAACCAGTGGCATCCCTGAGTTGGGGGTCCCTTCTATAGAGCCCTTCCTTATTAATGAGGTTTGTAAAGACATCATCATCAACAGCCTATAAATGCCCACTGCTGAGCAAAGCCTCTTCTCACACGGAGAAGGTTAGAGCATTAATCACCACGCTTGCTCAATGCGGGTTGGTGATTTCAAACTTATAATTAGAAATTATAAGCCCAGGTTTCCTCACGATGTTTTTCCTTCACCGTTTGTCAGTGGATAACTCGGAAAAGTTGTACTTGCCGTTGGTAGGTTTCGAACCCACACCCTCATGCATGAGAAGCAGGCGTCTTAAACCTCCGAGTCACCACGACACATTGTAAAGACATAACTTTACTTATAAATAGACGTGGCAGCCTCAGTATTATTGTACAGTCTTAAACTGTACACGCTGTATATGGGTAGTGCTGATGCAGCAACTATGTCGCGTCGCGCGTTCGTAATTTTAAGTATAAATAGTCATAGATTAAGTAAATTAACACTGCGTGTGCTAATAAACCAACGATAGAGAAAGGAATCGCCAACCTTCAACCTGTATAACTTAACTAATAAAGTACCATAAGTGATTCTTTCTCTTGGCACTCATCAACCCAACTGACTTAACTTCAAGAAGCGAAAGCCTTTACCAGCGAACCTAAGCAAGGTGTACCGTAACAGTACAATTATAGTAAGTGTAGTAGACTGTGACAATCCTTACTATCCTTACTAATATTATAAATCAGAAAGTGAGTTTGTTTGTTTGTTTGTTTGTTCCGGTTTCACACCGTAACTACTAAACCGATTACTTTGAAATTTTGCAGACGTAAAGTTAGAAGTCCGGATTAAATAATAGGGTACTTTTTATCCCGGAAAAAACTTGATATTCCCGAGGGAAAACAAAAGTATTGGTATAGATGGCGCTGTGTGTATTGGTATGTTATTATGTCACAGTCTACTTTTTTCCTTTTGTGACGCGAGCGAAGCCGCTGGTAAAAGCTAGTCTGGATATAAATACACAACAAGGCGGTGGCGGTGTGACCTCATAGAATTGTGAACTAAATCACTGTGACAAATTAATTAATAATAATAATATATCTAGATTGCATAAATAATTGTTTCATTATTGTAGATTGAATTTCAATGTCGCATGCATAATTTACTTTAAAACTGATCAAGTATGGAAGAGCCAGCTTGCATAGTGTTTCGTCGTGTGAGTGAGGTTACCGGAGGATCAATTACCCTCCCCTTCCCCAATCTCCCCAATTCCTGAATCCCCAACGATCCTCAAACTCCTAATCCTATTAGGACGGTTACGTCCCGTTCATCTACCCGCGGTCCCCCCGTGCCCTTCCCATACAATGTCATAAGTTAAATAAAGGTAAACTAATAAATTTTAATAAAACTGATGCATCGCTAACACATGCCACCCCAGTGCTGCCTCAGTAGTACTCATCAATCACCGGTAGCCTGATGCATCGCTAACAAAGGGTGTATAATGTCCAATCACACTATTGGTTGCAAGTTGCAACACGTTGACAATTTGAGACTCTTTAATAGAAATTTCCCATTTTGTGTTACCAAACAATTTCTGATACAGGATTCAATGATATTTTATTTCAACACTGTTAAGTATGTTATTTAAGCAAACGAAATATGAGTAAAAAGAGAGAAGGCTATCGACACACACATTTATTCGTCTTCCATTTTTTTTTACAAATTCGCGGGCTCCGCCACGCACATAAATAATCCATCACCATAGACTATGGTCATAGAGTATACCACAGATACACAACTAATACATATAATTTAAAACTGCATGTGTAATACTTATTTGTATTATTATATGTTTTCAGATCAAAGCTCTGACATCAGACAGTACTCCGCTTCGTGCGAGTGGTCACAACATCAAAGTCACCGGCGCCAGCGCATTCGTTATCAAGAGTTTGTCGTAAGTATTTTTATAAAAAGTCTAACTATTATTCAAAAACAGATGTTTCTTAAAATTTTTCGACTGTCGAGCAAGGAGTATCATAGAAACTATGAATTGTATTTATTGTGTTACAACTAACGCCATCTATCTTTGGAAATACTTATTTAACAAGTTGGAGTGGTCTGATCGAATATTGCTCATGGTTTTCTAAAAGTCCCTTACTGTATTTAAAAAACATGGCTAGCAAGATCGCTCTAGTGGTCAAAATAGGTTAAAGATTTCAGTCTTCTAGGAGCTATAGAATTTTTTTTAGTGTATTACAGTAACTTATATGACTACATTTTTAATATGATCAGTGGCGTTTCTATATCTTTCGGGGTCCGAGGCAAATTCATCAAATGGGCGACCGTTCCTAATAAAAACGAAAAAAAAGTTTAGGTGAAAACATTTTAACGGGGGCCGGTAACGGTATTTTGCCGTCTTACTACCCTATAGTTACTGGCGTAATTAAATAAAAAAAAATTAAGTGGCTGATTACATTTTTTAAATGCATGGCTAATATTACTCTGTGAATAATTTAGCTATGAGTGTCATGTCAGGCGCTATGTTAAACCAAAGTTGTTATTCGTCTAAATACAGATTGAATTTTGTGAAATTATTTATGTATGGTTAACACGAAAAAGATTACACATAAGTAAGTGTATCATATCAAAGTAAAGTGCAAAATAAGTAAAAATTAAGCTTCTTTCTTAGTATAAAACTTGGTTGAATAAAGAGTTTAAAAACAGTGCGATGATATTTTGCATTAATTGTATGTTATAAATCTATTTTATTTTAAGTAGTACCAGACTATAACAATGATAAACGATGAACTATGCATGTCACCTTTAACTTATAACCCTTCCTGGGTTTTCTTTGGATATCGTAAACTTATGTATAAACAGAGATTGACGTATTCTACCTTGATGATATTATATTAACATTTAATTGTGATGATGACCGGGTATGAAAATTAAAAATCTAATTAGTCCAAGTTAGGTAATGATAAAATATTAGACACGCATGTTTTTATTTTGTCGTATAATAAAACAATACTTAGATAAAATGAATTTAGGAGTGGGGGCTAAAACGTCATTTCTACGTATAAAATGTACATAGAAGTGACGTCACGCGGCATTTCAAATCAATATATCGTCGAAAGTATTCAGTTCTGTTAGAAAATAAAAAATACGTGTCTAATGATTTAAAATATTCTACTAGGCGGACATTAAAATAAAAATTAAGCATCTACCCTATTATGCTTTATACTTGGCGTCCAATAAGGAACCATAGATTGCACGATCCCTGAATACTGGCTTTCTCAATCAGCGTTTGGCCCCTAGGTTGCGCTTGAGTTATAGCGTTTAAGAGAATGTACCGTCTATTCCAGAGTGGACCTTGACACACTGAAGGTAAGGGTGCGTCTACGCTTCCCCAAGCTGCACTTCGAGGGAGACTACAAGCTGGATGCTCAAGTCCTCATAGTGCCACTGAAGGGGCAGGGAACGCTGAACGCTGATGCAGGTGAGTTTTTCAATAATAACACATATACACTTAGGTGCAATATTAACGGAGCCACTAACATTTTTTTCATTTTATCGAACACTCTATATCTTTAAAAAAGTAATTCCTTTTGCAACCCTTGCACCTTCACAATGCTCCCATTGTGAAGGTAGCTAAGTTGCCTTTTGTATGCCATACGTTGCCAATTAATAAAATACTTGTATCAGAAAATATTTATCAAGAAATGAAAAAGAAAAAACGATAGTGGCTCCGTCTGTTTGCTCCCAAGTGTAGTACATGACAGTAGAATTGCTAGAATCAGGCCTGAATGCTGGAAGGCTCAATTTGAAGTTGTAATTAAATAACAGAGACCTTAGTATATACGAGTTTCATTTATATAGTATTCGAAACGTATACGCGTTCGGCAATCTGATTGGCCGGCTCCAATGAACCAACCAATCAGAGCACAGAGGCCTTAGTACGAGTTTCATTTACGTTTAAAGTAATCGAAACGCTGCCTTCGGCGCTCCGATTGGTTAGTTCATTGATGCCGATCCCGGCCGGCCAATCAGAGTGCCGTATCGTATCGAGCGTATCGAGCGAATTAAGCGTTCTGATTGGTTGGTTCACTTGAGCCGGCCAATCAGAGCGCCGGACGCGCTCGATACTATTACGTTACGAATGCGATAGTTATTCGTGCTTGGCTCTCAGAGCGCTGAATGCGTACTCGTTTCGATTACTTTAAGCGTGAAACAAACTTGTATTAAGGCCTCGTGTCATCTCTGTCATTTTACATAGAATTGCGCGACTGCCTCGTTGGCCAAGTGGTCGCAAAGTAATACTCCGGTTCCCGGGTCAGGCAAAGTAATACAGGGTTTTAAAAAAAAATCAGTAGTAGCACGGAGTCAGGAATTGTGCCCGGTATATGGCAATAGGCTCACCCCCTATTACATGGGACTCATTACATAAAATAGTGAAAAGTCGGTGTTACAGTGTACAGTGGCATTAAGTGCCGTAATGTGCACTTCTATCTACCACTTCGGAAAAAACAAGTCGGTTTTTTAAATTAACTCCAAACAACAATTCGATACAAAATCAAATATAACTTTTAAATAATCGAGTGTTTTTCTTGCAGTGAAATGCGACACAGAGCTGGTGTTCCACTCCCAAATTGTCACAAAGGACGGAGTTGAGTACATCAAGTTCAAGAAGATCGAGGCTGACATCAGCATCAAGGACTACAGGGTCAAGCTGGACGGTCTCTTCAATGGAGACAGGACTTTAGGTCAGTACAGACGACAGGACTTTGAACTATGCTTTGGACAAAATCTGGAGTTGATCAGAATCGTGTTAGTCTTAGTATAGACTTAAACGAATTTAACTAAAACCGCGAATATACTGAGCAAAAGCTCTACTAGTTTCGAACCACAGAGGGGTTCTTCCTTATGAGCAGCGTGCGCGGTCGCGGAGACGTCGCTTTTCTCAGTATATTCACGTGAATAACCCGCGATTTTAGTGAATTTAGTATGTCTCACGATAGTTATTATATTCAACGAATTTGATGAAAGGTTAAAAGGATTTTACAAATCGAGTTAACTCGTCGAGTACCATATTTATAGACACAATTAAAGAACAATAGGTCGCGGTCACCGGTGACCGCTCCTTGTTTGACAGTTTAAAAGCAGAGTTTTCATAAAATACAACATTATATTTTTGGATGAGATACAAAGAAACCCTAATGATGGCATTAGGAGTGATATCAATCCAAGTTACCTATTATTGCTTTTACATATAATCGATTCATCTTTACGGAGCCGCGGAAGGACTAACGGGTTACCGGGGCTCCGGGTCGAAGTGCAGGAGTAGGAACGGAGTGGTTTTTAGTCAGTGAGAGTCTGACACTCCCTCTCGCCTTACGCGAGGCGGAAGAAGTCTTTGGATGATTTTCCCACTTCTAAAAAAAATCGAATTATCTTTATCTGAACTTCACAAGTATCCATTCTATATTAGCCATATTGTAACTATAATTTTATTACGTTACAGGTGAAGCAGCAAACCAAGCCATAAATCAGAACAGAGGAGAGTTCCTCAAGGCAACCAAACCTCATTTGGAGAAGACAGTAGCGACGAACCTCCTGCAAGTTGCCAACAATATCGTGGACGGACTCACGCTTGAGCAGCTCTTCCCCAAACCTTAGACATAGTTCCTAATCTAGAATAACTTAGGTTTATAAGCCCACTGTGATTTATACTCGTTGAAATAGTTTTCTATATATAAATTTACATAATTTTTGATATTTAAAAATGAAATGATGTTCTAATTTTGAACAGGACGACGCGTTTTTTTTTTGTGCAAAAATTGCTAGTATTTGAATTTCGAGAAAGAGATAGATAAGTACATTACGTTGTAAATTATAAAGACTATTATAAATGGATGTGAAATTACAATTTCGTAATTAATTGTATTTTTTAAACGATGTTTAAATTAAATTGAAAAGAAAATTATGTAACGTTTGTATTTTATTTAAGTTATACCTTACTTGTATGACACATAATGGTAAAATTAATTTATGTGCAAGTAAGAATACTAAGAATCAAGAGACCACCTAAAACATTTCTGTATATTTGTGTATTAGACTGGTTTTAGTGTTGCGCTGACGGCATTCAGACCGTCAGCGAAATATGAACTTTTAGGAACGGTGCGCGCTGGTAGCTACGCGTATTCCAAAATGCTACCTAGAAGTTCATACATAGGCAGTTTTTTTTAAGGGGGGAAAATTATCGAATGTCTGCTCCCACCTGGGTGAGGCGGGAGGGACTGTCAGACTCTTACTGACTAAAAACCAACCCCGTTCCTTCTCCTGCACGTCGAGCCCCGGTTACCCATTAGGTTCTCCGCGACTATATATAGGCAGTATGTTAGACTAATGGTTAGTATGGTCATATTGTCATACCATCAACTTGAATAAAGATTGTACGTAGTTACGGCCTTACGGCTAGGCGACGAACCTAAAGTCGAACTATCCAACAATGTAGTGGTATCATGAAGGGCAAAAAGGGAAACATCTTATGTACCTACTTACTTACAATGTACCTCTCTCAAATAAAAAACAACAGCAAAGTACTGAAGCACTGACGTCATGACATGCAATCTTCTATATCTTTATATATATAATTCTGCCTCGTTGGCCGAGTGGTCGCAAGTGCGACTGCCGGGCGAGGGGCCTCGGGTTCGATTTCTGGGTCGGACAAAGTACTACTGGGTTTTTAAAAAAAATCTCAGTAGGAGCACGGAGTCTGGAAATGTGCCCGGTATATGGCAATAGGCTCACCCCCTATTACATGGGACTCATAACACCTCTGCCTAGCCCTTCGGGGATAAAAGGCGTGATGTTATGTTAATAATTCTGCTATACGTATGCATGTCATTGAACTCCTACTAGACGGCTTGACCGATTTAACTCGTTGAGTACCGTCATTATAGACACAATTAAAGAACAATAGGTTGCGGTCACCGGTGACCGCTTGGTGTTTGACAGTTTAAACTGTCAAACACCAAGCGGTCACCGGTGACCGCGACCTATTGTTCTTTAATTGTGTCTATAAAACCGGTACTCGACGAGTTAAATGAATTTTTCTGTATGCGTTTGAGTGGCACCCTGGATGGATTTGATTCACAAATCAGTCCGACAGATGGCGTTGCAGTCGTCATATGTAGGACAACGTCTGTCGGGTCCGCTAGTACATATATAAAAATGAATCCCGTTTTCCCTTGGTCACGGCATCACGCGTGAATAGTTGGACCGATTTCATTAATTATTTTTTTGTTGTATCCTGGAAAATCCTGAAAATCCTGGAAATCCTAAGGGAACGGGAGCAAACGGGACTGCGCGTACGAAGTCGTAGACAGAAGCTAGTATGTAGTATGTAGTAGTCATATAATGAGTTTACTCGTCCAATGAGCGGGGTCTTGCACAATTGTTAAGTGAACACGTATGTTCAGCAAATTGCTTTGCTTGGCCTTACAGAGGTCACACTATTACAATATCACTACATTCTAGCCATGACATGGAGAACTGCATGGTCTTATAGTAAGCCAGTGACAATGCTGCCAATGTTTACAGCATCGATAGACACCATAGAAAGTTTGTATAAGGTTTTACCTATTTGGTATCTGACTGCCTCGTTGGCCAAATGTTCGCAGGTGCAGTTACTGGGGTCTCATGGGATTACTGGGTTTTTTAAAAATGTCTCAGTAAGTTTGAGTCTTGAATTGGGGATTAGGAGTTTGAGGATCGTTGGGGATTCAAGGATTGGGGAGCTTGGGGAAGGAGTGGGTAATTGGGCCTCCGGTAACCTCACTCACACGACGAAACAAAACGCAAGCGTTGCTTCACGTCGGTTTTCTGTGAAGCCGTGGTATCACTACGGTCGAGCCGGCCCATTCGTGCCGAAGCATGGCTCTCCCACACTTACAACCTTCACGTCAATGTCACGCAATGTAGCGTTGTATTGTATGTATGATGTTTGTGTCTGGACAGTAGACATAGGCGGTTATTTAGACCGTTAATAATGCAGAGTTTTTCCATGGCAGGCGAAACTGCGGGTAAAAAGGCAATAATGAACTTCTTGTCGATATATGATACACCACAGAAAACGCATTGTGTCTTGCGTAGATCTATGCTCCGACATATCAGAGGTTAATCTTTATATATATAATTCTTCTGTGAGTGTGTATGTCACTGAACTTCTCTCAAACGACTGGACCGATTTTGATGAAATTTTTTGTGTGTGTTCAAGGGGATCTGGGAATGGTTTAGATTCACAAATCATCCCGGCAGATGGCGCTGCAGTCGATGTTTAGGTTATTTATCCTAAACAGCTGAACTAATTTGAATGAATTTTTGTTTATACCTACATTCAAGTGGATATGCAGGACAACGTCTGTTGGGTCCGCTAGTAAATAGATATAAATAAATATGCAAACTTATAAAATAGGTATAGTGCATTCTGTGCGTTATAAAACTTTGATATGAGCCATTAAAACTGGCCTACTTACAGTAAATGTACGCGTGACATGAACGATTAGTCTCTGTGTTACAACTTTTATATAATTTTAACATAATAGTAGGTAATCGAGGGTGGGGACAATGTTATACAATAATCTTTACATCATTTTTCATGGCTAGGCATTGGATTTTGTTCTTATTTTTTTATCTGAACCTATATTTGTAATTGGATAATATTTTGTGAGACTAACTTGTCATTCCATGTCCATATGATAATTAAAACGTATAGGTATATAGAGGTATAAAACCATGAAGCCCAATAAACTGCAGTATTTGTTAACATCTAAAACTACTGGTCAAATTAAACTGAAAATTATTTTTTATTTTAACATCAACACTCCGTGTGAGTGCATAGGTAGGTCTCCTCTTTAAAGAGAATAAATACTATCACGCCTTTTATCCCCGAAGGGGTAGAGGTGTAGGTACATTACGGCACTTATTCCCACTTACAATGTAATACTCACTTTTCACTAATTATTTTATAAATCCCATGTAATAGGGACACACAAACAGAATTTCAGACTCCGTGCTACTACTGAGAAAAAGGAGAAGGGCTTTTAAAAAGGAGTTTAGTAAAATGTCCATACGTGGCAGGCGCATTGGAGATACAAAATTTAAATCTTCAGCTTCTTCTTCTTCAATTTAATCTTCTTGTAGTATATAGTGCTACTGCCCAGTCTTTGTTACATGTGCTGCTCTTAAGTCGGTTTTTATAAACGCCGAGATAAAAGTAGGGGTGAAAAAATCTATTCTATTAACACTACATGACTTATCAATACAGCATGTTATGAGATCCTAATTTCAAATCAACCGCAATTACAACAAGCGGCGGTTTTAAATCTGATTATCGCTTGCTAATAACGGAAGGTGAAAACCAGTATAATCGTATGTTGCACACACAGTTCCTAGATATTGGTTGGCATCCTCCGTCCGCTGGCGGTCACGCGGCAGTGGAATGACCTGAGGAGCTGACCTTCCAATACTTAGGGTAATACACCCTTTATTAAACTGTATCTTGATTGACCCCGTCAGTTATATTGGGAGGGTTTGTTAGTAGATCTTTAAGCGGCACGGAGATTTCTCAGCAGTCGAGAAGTGATCGAATTTGGAAGATACTTAGAGCTTTCGATTTGAAAAATTATGTTTTTTTTTACATTTGATAGGCCGTCGTTTGACCACTATCTCGCCTGGTGGCAAGCGATGATGCGGCCTACGATAGAGCACATCTGCCCATAAGCAACCTTTTCACTCGGGTCTTGAAGAGACCCAGGTTATACCCTTCAGGAAACACAGACTCTGGCAAAGAATTCCACTCCTTAGCAGTACGCACATATTATGATAAACAGGTTTGAAGATTACTGTCGTAATTTGTATAGTATTATAGTAATGTTTTTAGGTATAATTATGCGTATTAACAAATGGGTCGGCACAATAATCCATCAATGGCGCCCTCTGAACTGAATCAATCTTTAATTTTATCTGTTCATCAGATACTTGGCTGACTGTACACGCAGAAGGTACATACATTCTATCATAAGGTACCGACAGGTCGATGACCTGACGAAGGCTACCTTTATTAATAATAGTAACGTTAATATGCACGCTCTAATTGTTTTGGTGTCACGTATCATAGTATAATGGGAAGTCATTAAATATCACGCAATTGCTAAAATAATAACGCATTCCGGTGCGGTGGTATTTTGTTTTTCGTACCTTGAGAATGGAACGTGTTTGGGGATAGTAAGCATGGTGATATTCGGAGTCGTGGAGAACCTAACGGGTTACCGGGGCTCCGCATCGACGTGCAGGAGAAGGAACGGGGTGGTTTTTAGTCAGTAAGAGTCTGACACTCCCTCCCGCCTCACCCAGAGAAAGACCCCGGGAGAAGTCATTCGATGATATTCCACCCTTAAAAAAAGCATGGTGATATCATGGTAAACAAGAATATTAGAATATGTTCTAAGGACTGCAGAATTATGATTAGTGGTCATGTTTTGTGGAATGCAGATGACAGTCGTTTTACGAAAAATTCGGACATATAATCGAATTCGAAAGATCACAAAGGTCAAGATGGGAAAAGTGAACATATAATGGTAAACTACATAATATAAGTATACCATCACGCCTTT